GTGTGTGTGTGGCATGTGGTCCATACCTAGTTCCTGCGGCAGTTGCAGTTGCCAACAACGGGAAATCAGCAATTAGCGACAGACCAGTTGGCCAATCCCCTTGCCGCTGCACTCTTCAGTGGGTCATAAAACCACCGGCGGGACTGGCTGCCTGACTGCCTGACTGCCAGGCAACGGCAACGGACCGCTGAACCACCCAACCCAATCACTGCGACAGGCACGCATTTCCGCCACCGCCAACTGCTTCCGGTGGCACTTTGCACTTTGACTTGGCTGCTCGACTGCGGCTGCTGTTTGCACGGCCTTTGTGGGATTCTCACTCTCTCTCTCTCTCTCTCTCTCTCTCTCTCTCTCTTTTTGGTAGACGCCCATCTCTTGCACTCTTGCACGCCACTCTGCCACTCGGTTGGTATTCTTGTCGTGCTGTTGCTCGTCCTGCGTCATGTAATTTTATGACTAATTAGTCAGCTACTACGTCAAGTTGGCAACTACATAAAGCTCTGGCGGTGGGCGGAGTGCGCCGGACGGAGGGGCGTGGCGGTACGGTGCTGGGCTACGACATTCGTTTAGTTTAAGTCTTGAACAGCTGTGGGCGTTACTTGATCATGGGGCGTGGCCGTTTATTTGCTCTGCTGCGCTTTTAATTGCAAATTTTCTGCTGCAGCATTTTTATGGCATGCGTCGGCGTCGATGTTGACGTCGACAGCAACAACAATAACAATAAAAGCAACAACAACAACAACAACAGCAACTGCCTCCGGTCTGTCTACAAAGTTGAGTTGCAGTTTGTTAGTTGCCTGCTGCCAATTGGCTTTGTTGGGCTCTTTGTTCCCGCGCCCCCGACAGCCCAAAGCAGACCTTACCGACAGCCCCTACAGCTCATACAGCCCTAACCACGCCGACATTCTCTTTGTTCTTATTTGGCTTTGTGTAATTTTGCAGCAGAAATCACAAAGCAGCAGCTTGAAGACATTTTTGAATCTGCTTCGGCAACTTCATTGAGCGCAATTTGCTGTAATTTGTAATAGCTTTAAGCTGATCTCTGGCAATGCACTTGAAAAGATAAAACACATTACTTCACTCCAGATCCTGGTAAGATCTGAAACTGTATCCAGCTTCAACATTTAGGAGGTGGAAGAATAATCAGAAGTTGGAAAAGTTTATTAAGTTATTAATATAAACTTTTATATTCATGTTATAATATACTTAATACATTCTATTAAATCAACATCTTATCCTTTTCCAAAAGGCCATAGCCAAGCATATCTGAACTGGGCCCTTATTAATTATACTCAAGTCATAAATAAAAGAGCCAAAAATTGTGTTAAATTCACAACTGACAAAAAGACGACAAATGATTTCCGCTGCTAAATGATCCACTTCCGTTGCATGTACAACATTTGTGTGCGCCCAATGGCAGTCCCCGCCCAAAAATCCAAAAACTGTCGAGTCAACTACGAGCAAAGTTGGGCAACACCTGCAGCAGAACCTACCCCAAAGCCGGGGCTACAGCTGGGTAAACGGCAGATGGCCTCCAGCTGGAAGATTGGGTGTGTTTGTGTGGGGGCTGGCTTGGCTTGGCGTGCTGAATTTTAAAAATACATACGAAATTTAAATGACAAGCAACTAATGGAAATTGTTAACAATTTTCAATGGCAGGTGGCAAGAAACTTTGCCAACCGGCTGCGACCTGCTGCGACTTGCTGCGACTCGAGCGGCAACCTTTGCAGCAAAAATCAGCTAACAGCACAACAAATGGCTTCATTTATTTGCGTCTTTTGTGCAATGTTAGCGGCACTTCCGCCCGGCGTTGGCGTGAACAGCTCAAGAAATCCTGATTTACGTTTAGCACGCCCCCTCAGCAGACGTAGAGTGTGAAAAGTTTGCCTTAAAAAGTTTAAAACCCTTGACTTTGGGCATTGCCGAAGTTGAAATACCCTTGCAGATACAACATTTGCGTGGAATTTAGTTAACAAAACAGAATACAGACTATGTAAAGATTTGGCATGGCATTTTTCTTTTAAGTCTTAAGTAAGTATTTTTTTTTTAAATCTTTCCTACAGAAGCAATAGTAAATATTTATACCAAGTATTGTCTATATAGATGCACTGAGAATCCAGTTCACATGGATAGAATAAAAAAAACAGAGATCGCAACAAAGCGTTGCATGTTTCACAACAAAAGTATAGTACCTACGAAAAGGTTTTGTAAAGCGTCCAAAGGCAAAGGAAACATATAATGTTTATAAATAAGACGAAAGTGGAAAGTAGAAAGTTGTAAGAGAAGTTGTTGCTATTGTTGTTGTTGTTGCAGCACTTGCAGTGATTGAATGGCCAAAAGGCTTTAATGTTCCTTTTTTTTTTGCAGCATTTTCGCTTTATAAAACTTTGGCTTTGGCTGAAAGGAAAACATCACTTTAAGTTTTTCCGAAAAGTTACAACTTTTGGACATCCCCAAATGGCAGCTGCATTGCGGCTGCAAATAAAATATAAACAGACCGACATTTATAAATCATCCGTCTAACAGTTCTTCAATAGCTTCAGGTATCGTTGATTTGGAATTTCTGACAGGAGAATTTTCAATAGACGTATCGAGGCTCGATAGAGAGCGGCGCATTCTGCGCTTACCGCTGCCCTCGGAAGCAATTAGCGCCTTCTTGAGCTCCATTTCCTCGCTATTTACCTTCAGGCAAATGTCTATGAACAGGATTAGATCAATGTTTTTCAGACGCTTGGCATATTTAAAGGCTAAAGTTAACATCTCCTTTTGCCTCTCAACTTTGCCCAGCACCGTATGCGCTTTGCAGGCGATTAGAGCGCTCAAGGCGGCCCATACGTAATGATTGCCCTTGATTGCTTCTGAAATGTTGTATGTTATTTGAGCGTTACCCACATACTCTCAATAATACTAACCATTCATGGATCTGCGAGCCAGCAAGCAGCAGGTATCGAAGGAATGATTGTCGAGATTCGCCTGTGCCGCCTCATGGTACAAGTAGCTGCGTTCTATGGGATACTTGGCGAATCGCATGCGACTCTCAAAGCGAGCTATACGTTGTCTAAAATACGGATGAAATACTAAGTAATAGTTATACATATAGGAATAATAATCAGATCTAACTTGAATATCTCTGCCTTGGGATCAACAAGTTGCTCTCGCTTAATTTGCATTATATTATTGAGTTTCAAATTGGCGACTGTACCCAGATCAATTGGTATCTTGAGTAAGGTCAGTAGACGTGTTCGCCCCGCTAATGTTTTGTCGGTGCTTGAAATTTTGTATTCATTAATGCGGGCCAAACCCAAGTAGTTGTAGACCTCATTAATGAATTCAAATTTCCAAGGCATAATGCGGTGCGTCTTGATGGTTACATAGTCGCCCGTGACCTCATCCACAAACTTCGTTAATTTCTGAAATACAAAAAATATACAAAAAATAAATAAATATAAAATAAAACACCTTTGATAACTAACATTTAGCTCATGTTTGCTGATCAGAGCTCGAATAGTTCGCAATATTTTGAACATATTTCGTCTCGTTTGATATTGTATGCGGAAGAAGTTCTCCTCCTGGTTCTTCAGATACAGTTCGTTGTTCGGATACGTCTGGAAATGTTTACTGTACATGGGGCAGCGGGCGTGAAGCATTTTCTAGATGAATAAAATACACGCATTTATCCATGCACAGATTAGAATTATATCTGAAATATAAACATACTGTAAATGTTCGAATTGTTTTGTAATTTTCATTGGCTAGAGTTTTTAAATATTGCGCTGACTCGACGGATTCTTTTAATAGGAGGTTTGGATTTTCACGTAAACGCTTAAGAAATGAAACATCCATCCAGGATTTGTGGAGATAGGCTTGATTATAGGTCTTGAACCGTCGCTCGCGACGCTTTTTCTCCAGCGGTGAGAGAAACTCTTCCTGATAGGAAGCAAAAATATTTATTCCCTGATCCCTATACACATTGTTACCTATACAATTGTTACCTTCTTCTCCAATATGCTGAGCACATCACAGTCCGGCTTCACATATGTAGGCCGCTTGGACAGACCTGATGTCATTTTGTCTATAAGTCTATGCACCGCCGGTGCTGTTTCATCCGAAAGCGCATCATACATATTACCATTGACCTATGAATCAGAAGTGCCATGGTATATACGTTATAAATAAATATATATATATATATCTTACTAACCACACTCAGACGATTCTGCAGAGGCCTTGCTTGCGAATAGCAAAAGATCCGCAGATTGTGGTGAAGATTTCGTTTGGAATCCTCAAACTTATTCGATTCATAAAGCGCATCACAAATCTCCAAATTGATTGCTGGATCGAAAGCATACCGATTTCTCCTTCTTAAAGTATCTGCAAAATTTAAAAAAATATTTTAAAGCTTCCTGTATATATGTATATCGGATTTGGCTCTCAACTTTTGGCGTTTACACAGTCAATGAGTGCCTCCGGTGCCCGCGCCAGTGTCCTTTTGATTTGACTTCGCCTCAACAGGACCTTCGTATCACCTGGGTCAAGTTTCAGCGCAGCATCAAAGTATCGACTACCAGCATTTAGGTTATGCCTATGAGCAAAATAAGAGCCCCAATCGGTGTACATGGCCCGCAGTTGATCATCCGTCCACTTGACAACTTGCCATGGCTCCAGGTGCTTTTGCACGGCAGCGGATGGTGCGAATAGGTCCCCGACCTCAGACATTGTCTTGTGTTTACAATTGGGGGAGTGTATTAAAAACGGTTAAAAGATCGTTTAAAACAATAGAAAATAACAATTAAAAAATGTTAAAATTAAATATTAAAAAAATATGTATATTAAAATCATGTGTGTTTAGTGTGTCTAAATCTAATTTATGACAGGCAAACATAGCTCGAATTTTCAATCGAATTCTGACAGAAATGGAATGGGTACTACTTCCGTACTACTTATTAATAAGACAAAATTAAATTTTTTATATAAATGCCTTTTATTTGTTCTGAATACAATTTTATTAAATGTTAATTTTTTTGTTACATTTTTTTTATTTATAAAGTTTTAAGTACAATTTTGTGTATAGTATATTTTAAAATCGTGTACAAAACATTTATATTTAAAATTTATAACCATATTTTAATGCATGCTGTATTAATACACCCTTAATATCTTTGGTGAACTGCCCTGTATTAACTGGGGCATTTTCATCAACAATATATTTTAGAGAGTATATCTGTTCAGTGTTCTCAACAATTGGCTCTCCCAGAGTGTTCCCGTGCTCTTTGGTATTATTATTGCTCTGGGAATCAATCAGGCAAATGGGTCGCACTTTAGCCGAGAGTATAAAGGGATTTATCATAGTCAGCATGGCTAGCGGCTTGCTAAAAATATGTACAAATTAGTCAACTATATAACTATATAATTAAACTATTATAGTTTTCTGTTTGCTTACAATGTTTTCAGGTCCACCTGCGCAATGTTGCGTACATCGTAGCCATGTTCCTTTTTTGCATTGAATCCAACCGACTTATTGCCCAAAACTATGGTGTAGTCTGTAAAAAATTCGGAACTGCTGGAGAAACAGTTGGAAACAGTGAGCACATAAAATGGGTCAATAATTGAGCCCAAGCAACGGAATCTATAATTATTATTTGATATGCGTTGAAATACGCTGACCAGCCATGGATCTTCTTTAACTGTGTCAAAAGTTCTTCCACAGTCAGGCTTGCATTTTAAATTCGAAACTTTAGTATTGACCCTTGACCATTTGCCATTCGTATTGCATTTAAGTTCTTCGTGTGAAATAGTCGATATATAGCCCTGAGCACACTGAACGATGGCTCTGGTTGAGACCACAAGCGGGTCTCTGGCGCAATCGATGGTATTGTTATTGTAACTACATATGGCATGAGTACTGGGATCATTTATGATACTGCTACGATCGCAGGCATTTACACACTCCGCCCACGGTGCCTTCCAGTCACCATTATCGCAAGTGTTCACATCGCTGCCCTGAAGTACATACTTCTGGCTGCAGCTCAATCGCACCGTCGTCAGATGGGACACGTTTCCACCGTTGAAGTATGGCAAGCCATTGTACAAGGTTCTCAGACGTAGCTTCTCGCCGATCACAGTGCAACTCTTCTTAGTTTCTGGTGCCTGAACCGTTGAAGTGAACTCAGTTGCTGGAAGCGTACTTTTGTCGGTTGTAGTGATTTGCCATGATGGTATGTACCATTCGTCGGTCGAGGTCTTATTTGTCTTCTCGTTGCATAAGACAGACAGCTCATCGGACCCATCTTGGCAATCGATGCGGTGATTACAGGCCGCCATTTCGGAAATGCAGGCGCCGTAGGCACAACGGAAGGCACCGGGGGGACAGATCGAGCCCACACAAACTTCAATAGTTTCATCCGAGTTATCCAAACAGTCCCCAACGCCATTGCACAGTTTGCTATAGGGAATACATTCCTCAGATTCTCTGCATTGAAACTCCGTATAAACTTTGTCACTGAATATATAAATAATTAAAACAGAAAAATAACATAAATTTTATTTAAAAATTGTTGAGCAACTTACGTGCATTTACCACGAATTTCCCGATCGAAAAGACTTGGGTCGGTGGTACAATCGAACTTGAACTCATCTGTATTGTCCCAGCAATCCTTGATCCCATCACACCACTTGGAGCTGTCGACGCAGGCGCCGTAGGAGCACCTATGTTCATTGCATTTAAAATTATGGCATTCTTCAAATGTCTCATCGCTGCCATCGTCACAGTCCTTAAATGAATTGCACTTGAGAGAATTATTTATGCACTGACCATTCTTGCATTGAAACTCCCACTCCAAGCAGCCACTTTCTTGCTCTGTATTTGCATAGGCTGTAAATATTGAAATACATCAACACAATATAATGCTACTTGCTTTTTCTATGCAAATATATGTTAATGCTTACCATTGCCATATTTCAGGCATAACAGCACCACGCAAACTCGAAGTCCCTGAAACATTGAAGCTCTTCCGATCATAACAATATTTTTCATATGCCGTTGTATCAAATATCGACTGTTCGCTTTCGAGTTTCTTTGCATACTGAATTTAAACTATATCAAACTCTGGCGATATCGGAGGGCAGCCTCGTTGTATATTCATTTACATACACATACATATATGAGAAAACAAATACGATTGAGTGCGAAAAAAGTCACACAAGCACATCCAGTATATACATAAAGCATATGCACATACATGAAGATTATTATTATTATTCATGATCATGATTATAACTTATAGTTTTATCACGACATTATTATTTATATCCTGAATGAACAATTATTATTATCAAGATTTATTACTTTATTACTCTCACAGGATATTTTGAAAACAAACTATTTGCCATATTTGTCGCAAATAGTGGTTGGAGTATTTGTCGTTGTTACTATTTCTTTCGTTTATAATTATGGTAAAAAATTGAAAGGCGCGCAGATTCTATCAAAGCAGCCAAAACATTTACACAGTCGACTTGACACCCTTTCATTTTAAATTCACAGTTTTTCAATTTGTTCTATCCAGTGGGTATTTTTTTGTTTTTGTTATTTTTTTACCCGATGCATTTTGCGGGCCTTGTTAGAAATTGTTCAAAGCGGTTTTTTCGCACTTCAATGTTTCAATACACACTCGTTGCCTGCCCATTGATTAAAAAAAACTAGTTTCAGCTTTTGAATGCAAATTAAAGGCGGCCCTTACAATTGAATGGGTTGCGCTACAGAAGAAAAAAAATAAAAAGCAAATTAAAAACCAGAAGGAACCGTCATATTCGGTCTGATGCAGAAACCTTTCATACCCTTGCAGAAACACTAACATTAGAAATAGTACATATATGAGAAAATGCTCCCATACCCAGATACTACTAAGATTTTGTATTGTGTGTAAGCTTAAATAAACCTCGTGAGTTTCGTTGAGATATCATGAAATATAAAAACAAGATTCATATGTTTTCTTGTAAAAAGGGTATTGCACGTTTAATTGATTCGAGGCTGAAGGAACACATCACGCATAAGGCTAGAAATTGAATGCAACATTTTTCATGCCTTTAAGGACTCAAATCGTGTCTAGTGCGCATATATATATATATGCTGGATGCTTTTTTAACCACTATGTGTCTTTGTGGAAATTAACTATTTTTAATTCAATTAAGCCTTAGGGGAATCCTGTTTGAGAGTGCTTAGTTTTTTTGGAGTGAGTATTGAATTAAAAGCTGGGAGCTGCGAGTGTTGAATTAAAAATGAAAATGCTTGCAGCACAGCAAAGGCAGCTTTTGATGTTTCTGTGGGGGCGGTGAATGTAGTCGTGATAGTTAGGGTGAACTCGGGTGGTGTAGAGTGCAGACAACATAGAGGGCACAAGTGACAATGGAATTGTTTGCAAATTGACAAACAAAATGCGCTTTTGTGATTCACCAAACGGCAAGCGAAAACGACAAGCGGCATTTCGCATGGCCAAAGGGGCGCATACGTTATATGGATTGACATGAACTGACACTCACACACACACACACACACACACACACACACACACAGACACACACACATACAGACAAACTGTTTGCACTGACAAATGAGCGCAAATTGCATTGCCAGTTTGTCGTTGTTACCATTTCCTTTATTTTGTGTAGTTGTTGTTGTTGTTTTTGTTATTGTTTCCAGCACAACTGTGTCAACGGCAACAACAACAGCAACATCAGAGGTTGCTAAAAATCGACTCTGCTTCATTTGCATTTCGATTGCGTCACGCATGAGCATGAAGCTCTTTAAGCACCGATGTTATATATATATATATATAATAATAATTCAACAGCCGATAACACATGCCAGAACATAATAAGCTGGGACTCTTTTAATTGACCTCTATATATGGTTATTCTGGTATCAGAACGTTGGGCCTTACCCTTGGCCCGCTGCCCCCTAAAAATAAACTTTGATAAAAACAACAAAATTAAATTAATATCAAAAGTCTGCCATTTGTAGGTTTACAAAGGCGAATTTGATAAAAATATTGAAATTTTAATAAATATCCCATGCCTGCGTATTGCTTGCACTGGGCAACAAATATATTATTACATTCAATTAAATACTTCATATATTTAAAATATATCACATGCTTTTGAAATGACTAGAAAAATTTCATTAAGTTAACCACCAAAGTAAAATAAAATATAGCATAATATTCTAAGTTATTTTCTTAATATAACAATTAACCTTAAAAAGAAATCAGGCTTGGCTACAATTTTGTAGGCTAGTGTTATGTGCGTCACAACGCGTGATCCCTAGGGGTGCTGATAATTTTTCCGTTCTTATACAAGTGATTGACTTTGTTTCTCAATAGCAATAAACAAAAAAATATATATTCGTGCAGATGCTGTAAAAATTATTCGAATTTAATTCGTGTTAACATAAACTAGTCTAAATTAAATATTTTCTCATATCTCAGTGATTTGGTGTAGAAATCAATTTGGGTTCTTGAGGCATTACCCAATTAATAAAGCTTCAAAGTCTGGCGGACAGTGCCGCGAGTGCAGCGCCAACTTTCGACTAGCGCCAATAACCAAAAACTGTCGCCTCCTCCACTTAGTCATCGGCAGTAGCCCAAACGGAACCCACAACAAGATCTTGCGGCCACACAAAAAGCCAACCGAAAAAAAGGTCGTCAAAACTTTTGGCCAAAGTTTGCATGGGCCGAGGGAAGCTGCACTGTTGCGGCATGGGCGGGGAGCGCTATATGGCTGGCTCTTATCCAATTAAGTCATAACTCAATATGTGCCGAAAGAGAGGGAGATATACACTTGGCCATTACTTAGGCGAAGGCAAAAATTTTGCTCTAATAACTTTGGGGCTGATGCTTGCTTCCGTCTACTTTTTGGTGGCAAGCAGATAATTTTCACACCCGACAAGTCCCACCCGAAGCGAGAGCCGCCGCATTCAGCTGCAGCACGTAGCCATGCAATTTGCTAGCCAGAGTTGGGTGGAAAGAAATGGGGCGATATTTTAGTTTATGCTGAGCAACAGCTATCCGGCTGCCTGGCATTGGCTTTTACGGCACCAGCGAGACGCTGCCACAACTCATTTGGCGTTGACCAGGACGACTTTGTTGGGCCATAGCTACCCCCCTTTTCCCTGCCACAACCCCTTTTCGCTGTGAGTGGCTGGAACAGCTCTCCAACTCCATCCATCTGCAGTTGAACGCGCGCATAAATTATTCATTTGTAATGTGCAGCAGCACTCGTTGCCGGGTTGGGCTACACAATGGGGGCAGGGGGCGTCTAGTGGGCTGGGGGCACACTGTGTGTGCACTTTTGGCACAGGATATGACACTGACACTCAGCGCCCGGCGCTCGTCCTGCGTCAACAACTTCCCAGCGGCAACTGGTATGGGGTCTGTGGTCCTTGGTCTTCGCTCCCCGATCCCCGCTGGACGGGCTCTTGGCGTTTACTTTCGGTTTGTAATTTCCTTCTGGAGTTTGCGGCGCCAAAGGAAGACAGCCAGAAATGGCGAAACCCCCAAGAAATTCACAGCAAAGCGGCAGCAGCAGGCGGAGAGTATATTGCAAATGACGATTGCAACTGAACTGGGCAGCATACCACACACACACACACACACCCCTTTGGCTTACCATTTTCTTTGGGGAGCAGCGTTCGCTGCAGTTGCAAAGTTTAAAGTTTGCTTCAGATCTGCAGCTGTGTGTGAAAAGTTTCATTTGTGAATTGAAAAATTATTTCCAGTTTCATATGCAGAGTGTGTGTCATTTACAGGACGAGACGCGCCAGCTAACCCAACAAGCTGAGCCAGCCAAGCAGCACACAACCATTGACAAAATGGAAAGTTGTTGACTTAGTTTCCGCTTCTGTGCGCCGCTTCTGTTGCCCCAGTGTAGCACATTGCTGTTGCAACTTTCAGCTAACGCTGTGTATGTGCCGCAAGAGTCTTCAGCCTGGCTTGTCGGCGCGTTGGCAACACTTTTAATTATGTGCTGGCTACGCTTAAATTGAAGTAATAGCTCAAGTTTTTGCTGGCTTTTGTGGCTTAAAGCAGGTGCCAAGTCCAACCCCTTGAAAATGATTTTGTGCAAATGTATAGAACAGATAAAAGAAGGTTCCTCTGACCGCATTACGGGTATATATTCTCGGATCAGCAGCAAAGTCCAAGTCGATTGAAAAATGTCCGTCTGCCTGTTTCTTTGCAAAAACTAGTCTCTTAGTTTAATTAGTATGTCTTTCTATTCATACTAGTACTAACAACTGTTTCGTTTTGCAAGATATCTTGGTGAAACTCGGCATTTATTAGATTTAGGCAAAATCTTGTCAACATCGGACTTCTTTATCAAAAAGGTCTATGCAATGAATCGGTCGAATAATGAGTTATATATTATGTGGAAAACTTTTCTGCTTTTCAAAATATCTTAATCGACGTCAGCACATATGCGTATATTCTCCTTAAGAATCCGTATCAAATTGGAGTGAAATAGTTTAAGGAATCGGTCAAAAACTAAGCCACATATTTTCAAGGATATTTATCCTTCGGCCTGCGTAACATTTTTTTTGCATTAAACATAAAATTAGTCAGCTAAAAGGAAAGCCGAATATTAACAACTTATATATACATTCAAAAACTATTTGTAGCCTTTCAGTCTTAAATTTGTGCTTATAAATTGTAAATCAAAGAAATAACTAAATGCACAACATTTATATTCTAGATGACAGCCAGTAGAAGAAATTAGCAGACCAAATGGAATTAACATATGAAAGGCCTTGGCTAAAATATAGAACTCTCACAGATTTTGCAGTTCCAAACACGTAGCCCCGTCCATTTGGTCCATTCTGTAGAAAACTCATAGAAGTAGTTGCCTTGCTGCAGCTAGTTGCAGTGCGAAACATGTGGCACGTGCGCACACAAAGTTGCAGCAAAAACTGAACTGAACTGCATGAAGTAATTAGGTATTTAAAAAGTAGAGAATATTGTCGGACATGTGCGCAAAGCTGGCGTTGAAATACCGAGTAGTATATGATAAAGAGATTGTTAAATAAGCTACCACTGAGTTTAAAGAGGAACGAATCAAATAATCTATGCGCAGGCTCTATATATAAATATTTATATATATATCTATATATAAAACTGTTTGTACTGACTGACTGATTGACTGACTGACCAATGGGTGATCAACGCACAGTCCAAACCGGAAGAGCTAGGAAGCTGAAAGTTAAGAAGGCGATTCGGGAAATTCCACCAAAAATCGAGAATAACGTTTGTATGAAACTTTTTTGTCGGATCGGCCTTAAACTCATTTTCAAAGATCTTTATTCAAATTCATTTTAGGGGTGTTTCACACTTCTCGAAAAATGCAATCCTCCTTGGTGGAAATGGATGTCAAAGGTTTGATGGGTGACGTTTCGCGCTTAAATTCATTTCCAAGGATATACATGAAAAATCATTTGAGTCGTATTTCATATTTTTCGCAAAATCCAAGTTTCCTCGGTAAAAAGTGCGATTCAATGATTTTTTTGGTGAAGTTTTAAGTTTTGTCCGATTTGCTTCAAACTAATTTTCAAAAATTCCCACCCCAATAACTCGGTCAAATCTCATCCGATTAGTCGTAGCTTATTATTATATATGTAAAAACAGGCTGTTTTACTTGAATAATTATATTAACAAGTTATATCAAATTACATCAATATCAATATCTAAAAGATCAACATATCTAGAAGTCATAAATATAATTTATAAAAATGTTAATAATAATATCGGGAACTATGATTTGCTGCCGGACTGCTGGCATATAGAGTACATTTATGGTGCAACGGAGACAGATTGTGTTGAATTTTGAAGAAACGACGCTTTCAACAATTGAGCTGGACTGACTATGCGGATGCCACATGCGAGAGCAGTTGCGTGCAACCGCAGCAGAATTGAAGTTTTAATTTAAATTTTAGGGCAATGTTGTTGTAATTTATTAAGCTTGCCATGAAACTGACTGCACTACACCGCAAAATTGTCAACAGGCGGGCCTCACATACGCGCACACAAGCATGCATTTAAAGAGCCGCAGACACGCACGTGTGCTGCAAAAAACGGAAACGGAAACAGCAGCGCGGTCGTCTTTTGAGTGTGTGTGTGTGTGTGTGTGTATGGGTGTGTATGGGTGTCTGTTTGCATTGGTGTTTGTACGGGCTTTGACAAATATTTCGTGTGTACGTGAGCCAGTGCCCGTGTGAGTGTGTGTGTGTGTGCTTTGCCGGATGCGAAAGTTTGTTGCTGCAAATAAAAGGTTTCGAAATTAGCAAGTAAAATATGCACACAAATGCCAGGTGTATGTGTGTACAGCATTAACGGAAACGGACTCTTGTGGTATGTAGCATATTTAATTTATGTGGCAACATTGACGGCAACAATTTTAACAGTTTTGAACAACTATTTTTTTGTTTTCTTTTTGATTTTATAACAAGTTTGAAATTATTTGAAATTATTTTGAATTCACATTACATATTTGTCGGATTAGCAGACACTGTAATTAATTCACAATGACTCTTCAATGGCTTAACATTTGGTTTATGTGGGCGTGGTCGGTTAGTTTAGACAACGGCAGCCTTAAATCAGAGCTGGTATGCTCATAATCAACGCAAATGGCTGGCAGATGGACGATTGCAGCTGACAGGATGCTGCCTAATTAAAATGGCAAAATGTCAACAACAACAACAACAACAACGTCGCCAACTACAACAACAACAACAACAACAACAACAACGATGTCATTGACAATGCACGTCGAACAACGGGCAATTGTCATGCAAATTTATGCGCCAACTGGACACAAACAAACGAAAAACGCCCGAAGAACACAGCCAGCGTCGACCCTCCGACAACATCGCAGTCCCAACTCAAACCCAAAGAGAGACCCAAAACCAAACCAAGAGCCCCAAAAACTAAGCTTTCAAATTATGCACAGCACATGCAGACATGCCACAGATACAGTTGCTGTTACATTGCCGCAGATACAGACACAGTTACATTTACAGATACAGATACAATTTTGGCGATACTTGCAGTTGCACATTTTAATAGAGTTGCGTTCGTGATACACGCGATGCAGCACTTCGTGTTTAATATTCGTGTTTCGGGTTTCTTCACACGACCAAACAAACTACTACACGCTTTTATATATTTTGCTTTCCGCAAATTGCAGACCTTTATTATAAACATTTATAAAATACAGAAAAAATTGAAAATAAAAATTCACATTAAAAACGTCGTGAAAAAAATCAGCCCATCTCTAGCATTGTTTTATGCTGTTGTACACATGTTGTTAGTTTTATAGTGTCGTCGCAGGGGAGAGAGAGGGTGGGCGATGATAAATCTGTTAGCCGCGCAGCACTTGGCCAAATGGTAAATAAATTTTAACTTGATTAACGATTTTGTCGGGCTCATTTTTGGCCACCCCCCACCAAATTGATTGGTCATTGGCTGCACTTTCTGGCTAGCTTCAAACAGTTTCAACTGTGAAATTAATTTGTATCTCTCATGCCGGGGTCTTAATTGCATTTTGCGTTACGATTCATTAACTTGGCCAAGTGAAGTGCAACATTTGTGGCTGGTTGTGTTGGCCAGTGTGATTTTGGGCGTGAATCGCGGCTTGTGTGCTTTCAATTCAGTTAACAGGTCAGCAGCAACAGCAACAGCAGCAGAAGCAACTGTGGCAGAGCCTGCCTTTTAGCGCTTATTATCCTTGTCACGTTCGAGGACCAACGCGCCTTTGTGTACCGTTTGTTCCTGTGGTTGTTGTTGTTGCTGCTATGCTAACAATTTGCCTGAGTGCTGCGAATTCCTTGCAGGTAAATGCACATACACACACATGCACAGTCACTCACACACACACACATATCAGCTGGATTGAATAGAAGCGAATCAGAAGTGTGAGTGAGTGTAGTCAATGCCTCGCCAAGATTGAATTAGTTTGCATGCTAATTCCGTTTGTCAGGGTTGTTTGCGCACTCGAAGTGCGGACGCGATGGTGTATACCCTGGTTAATTTGATAATTGCCTAGCTATAAGCGCTGCAAGTATAAATGCGCCCTTGTATAAATTATCTAGAGTCACAGCAACTGATCTTTGATATGGATAAATGGGCTGCTTACGTAAATATTTATGCAGCTTATTATTGGCTATGAACACAAATGAGAGAGTATACGATAAGATTTAATGTAAAAAGTGATTAAATAAATGGACATATGAGTATTGTTAATCAAATTGTATCGAGTAATGAGTGCTACTATAATATAGTCAAGTTAGTGCCTAGTATCTGATATTATTTTCACCATATTGTTGTGAATTACATCGATTTTAGGCTCTGCGATAATATTTGAACCCGAGCTGGCTCTTTACTAGTTCTGTTCACATTTCAAGTGGACATGTGTTTCAAGCAGCAGCAACAACAGCCGCCAGAAGTGGACTCCAATCTAACCGCCTGCTCATGTACCTCATACATGCCCGCCGGTCAGGACACGTATTTTTTTTCTGCTCATTGCAGTCGCTGTTGTTGTGCTCGTGTATTCGTCTATCGAGGGGGCATTTATCAAGTGTCCCCCTGGAGCGGCTATTGCTGTAGCTGGAGCTTGGTGCATATGCCAACACATTCTGCTTATAGCTGACCAGAACTTGTCATCCTCCATGGCATGGAAAAAATGGATAGGATGCCGGATCCCGGAGTCTCTTATGCTGCATTTAAAAAGTGTATTTTTAGCTGGCAATACATAAATTTAAGTGAAGCAACACATCGCATACATCAGGAGCCGCCTGCCAGCCAGATACCAGAGAGTCAGCCTATGTATCTGAATGTCCACGAATACCTCAAATGGCCTTTAAGATACATATGCATTGCGTGCATGACTGCCGCAACTAGTGTGTCAACTGATTTAGTGTTCGGCTTTAATAGAGATGTTCCCATAGACACTGCTAAAGCATTGTGGCTGGGCCATTAACTCAATGCCCAGACAGACGCAGGCAGCAGACAGCTGAGAGTATTAACGAAAGTTACATAGACAGCACAAATTAATTAGATACACAATAAATTACTCATATGCCAAAAGCAGCTGATAAACACAATTACAGATACAGAACCGCCACAGACCATTGTTTGTGTGGCTGGAGTCATTTTATGTCGCAGTGGATGAAGCGAAAGTTCTGGTGACAGCAAATAACTATTTAATTCCCTTACCAACTTTAATAGTAAAATAAGCTACAACTTTTGCTTTTTAAGGACACTTTGTAAAATAAAAAAAAATACATTTCTTTTAAATGATTAACTTTTTTGCTACACTTGTGATTTTATGAAGTAAAATGTACTCGAATATACTTTTAGTTCTATACAAAAAACTAACTGATTTAAACACTGAACATTGGAAAGTACTTCTTCTTTCACTTCTGACTTGCAAAAATAATAAAATGAAAATAAATGTGAAATCACAGAAATCACAGTGGAAAGCGAAACATGATGCCAAGAGAACTAAAAACAAATACAAAAGCGTGCTCAGATAGTGCGAGAAATAGAAACAAAATGGCAAAAGCAAAAGCAAAAATAATGGCAACAAGAACTATAATTTCCTAAAGGACTTAATTATTTTATAATAAGCACATAACACAAGCGAACTACAAGCAAAGCGCAGCCCCAAAGGCAGGACACAGCAGGACGCGACTAGAAAAAGCTGTGGTCAACGGGCCACAGGAAGAGTAAAGGATGCCGCGTAAATGCAGCGCAAAAGTTGCTAAAGTTTTTCCACTCACAAATCGGACAGAATAGTAAATGGAAGGGCATGGCAGAGCAGGACTCAAGTAAACGGAGACAGCATAAATTGTGAAAATATTGCAGATTGCTTTTATCTCACTTCCCTGGCAAGTGCCATCTCATCTCACTCCTTTTCTTTCTCCCTATCGTTTTATTAATACATGCTTGGATTAATTACAGCAATAAACGTAGATTTGCAAAAGTTTCTCCAGATTTTGCAAAGAGCTTGCTCAGTTGACTTACTTTACATTAAATAAATTAAAATATTATGAAAACAAAACCAAAAGTAAATATACAATTTTACAGTAATGAATTCTACCAAAAGGCTTTTTGGTTATTTGACATATTTTTGAAAAATAATTTTAATTGCAATTTATATCAATTACTTTAATTGCATTAAAATCAGTGAAGCCGGTTAAATGAATATCCATGGAATGGCATCGATATTTTCCACTCCAAGCACTTTCCTAAATAAATGTGATTTCTTGAAACTCGGCCTGTTCGACAGCCGAAATATTTATGAAAGCCCAGTTGACCTTGTTCCAATTCACCATCTAAACTGCGAATAACTGAATTGATATTAGCACAAGGCACAACTTAAGCGCACTGTAGCAGCAATAAGGTCTGTACAGCGCTTGGGCCATCAAATTAGATAAGCATGAAATGGCATTACGTATACGCACCGTTGGCCGATGCTGGCATGAAACAAACATTTAAACACTTCAAAAACAATATAAATTCATTCAGCATTCAGCCAAACGATGGCCAAACTATAAGCATAAGCCATAAACTACATGCACAGGCCAAATGCAGACAGGCAACAGCAACAACAATAAATAAATGCCCAACAATTGATACTTTGGCCAGAGGAACAGCCAGGAACGGCAAGGCCAACGAGAACAAATGCTTCCAGTTTATATAACAAGCGTGCGAGACGGAGTAGAGGCGGCGGCTTTCGACAGGCATAAAACAGAGCACAGAGCCAAATAGATAGTTAAATGCCTACACACACACAAACACACACACACACACGAAATAGCATTTGGGTGCCGAGGGGAATGAAAAGGACGCCTGAAGAGCAGCATCAAATTCATTTGAATTGCAAAACAAACACAGACCGAGGCACAGAAATGAACTTAATCATGTTGTAAATTTACATAATTTGACGTGTACATAAATATATATATATATATATATATAGGGTACAATACAACAGAGAAGAGTAGCACGAGTTGGAATATATGGTTAATATTATTTGTATATATTTCAATAAGCAGAGCTATCAATTCGTTGGCTCATCATAAAATCGATTTTGCTAAATTATTATTAAAGGCTGAGAGAATTTAGGGACAATAATTAGATAAGGCCTTCATATATATGGGAGTTTTAATATGTTTACAAAGAAGAACATCTTTTAGCTCTGTAGAAGGTTAACATTTAAAATTGTTTATTATATTTCATAATTTATTTATATATATAGTAATTGTGTGACAAAAAATTGATATTATATTATCAATTATAAAAATCATACATTTATTTTTACATTACATTAACCATCTATTTGAGTATTCATTGTTTCTGATAGTAGATTAAAAAAAATTGTAAAATTATTATTTTTATTTTATATAAACTCAGATTTCCTCTATATACGCTAAGGTATGAAATGTAATTTTCCTAGAAATTCTTTGTATTCCCTGGGCGCCTCATTAACTCTCAATGCCTTAAGCAAACTTTTCTA